ACGCCCGGCTGATAGCCGTATTGTCGGCTGGTACCCGCAATGTATTGTAGTATACTATAGTATACTACAGACAGGCCCGGCTGATAGCCGTATTGTCGGCTGGTAGCCGTGAAGTATCGTAGTATACTACAGTATACTACCGACAGGCATGGCTGACACTCGTATTGCATGGTAGTATTGTATTACAGTTAAATAACCCCGGCTGGAAGCCGTGATCCATGCCGCGATGTATTGTAAGTATTGTATTAAAGTGTAGATACGGCTCGGCTGCTACTGTACCCTTGGCCGTGTACGATGGTGTACGTATTTACGCAATCTTTAATCGCGCTGGCTAAGAATAACCTGTATATATACAATAAATTAACATATTTTCCGTGTAAGACGTGGTGGCGCAGAGGGACAAGACTCAGCGTGTGTGCTGAAGGTCGCCAGTTCGGTCCCGGAATGCGCGCAAACGAATTTGAATTTTTCTTTTTGCCAAAATTGTTTTTTTTCTCGTTTATTTACCTGTCGCATAGCTAGCTATATGCATTGGGAAGATGAATTTAGATGCATTTCGATGATTTTCGGAAAATTTAATGTAATTTTGGTGGTTTTCTGCTTATGAAACATTCTAGAACCAGTCTCCAAAATGCGCGCATTTTTTGAACGAATAGTATACTATAGTACAGCCCGGCTGGCAGCCGAGCAATCGCAGACAAAATTTCCGGCTGTCAGCCGGCGTCAAACGCGCTAATCGGGTGACTGTATGTGCTGTTTTGGCACCGATGGATATATACGCATTTATATGTTGTTTTTCTGAGTATAGTTTGAAACTATTGCAACTACTAATCCACTTAATTTGAAGAAAAATGCGTCATGTCTTGTTTTTAGAATGCAGTAGGTTGAATTTTTTTAATTTTAGGCGCATATTATACTGTGAATATCCTTATAATTCGTACTACTATTCGTACTAAATTATATACCTGATCAGTGAAAGGGGATGTGATGTCTTTGTATTGGGCTTCTTTTCTTAATTAACAAAAACCTTTTTGGACTAAACTAAGTAAATTGCGCGAGTAGAATCCATTTTCACCAGAACTGGTTTATAATTTGTAACTTTGATATTAAACTTTGATTGCTGGTAACAGTAATGAGTACGATATTTGTTCACATCTGTATCAAGCAATTGATGGTGGAGCAGACTAACTTGCCAGAAGTTACAGTTCATGACCCCAAATTGCAACACACCAATCTCATGTAGATTTACTCAGCAAGCACCATCTTAATTAATGATTTCACCTGTTATCAATTACCATCGGCATTGTTAGGTTTACCATCTTAGTGAAGGAGCGAGACTAATTAAGCTCCAAAATAATAAAATATTGCACATTCAAACTGTGTAGCTCAGTCTGGAATGCATTGGTCTTGTAAACCAGGGGTTGTGGGTTGCATTCTTACTTGCCTGGTATAAATTTACTCAGTGTAGCAACATATTAGTAATTTCTCCTGTGTATGATTACCATCAATATTAGATTTAACACCAGCCTTGTATCTTACAGTTCAGTTCTTATGTACTTGGTGTAAAAGATTTTAAGCAATATAACTTGTAGAAGTTATATTGATTAATTGTTTTGGCAACACAGCATATTGTCCAGTGCACATGGTTAAAGATGCGCTACCTTCAAATATTTTCTGTTCTTCTTTTTAGTGTTGGAAAGTTCACGATTGGCAAATTTCAAGCTGTAGTAAATGCACAACCTCAAAAACAATTTTTGTATCTTTCATGATGTAGTCCAGAAAGCAATTTGTTGGAACATGAAGACCTTCAAATGTGTTTTCTGTTTGATCAAAGGCCTTGAAGAAACAAAACTGCTTCCTGTTATCATCTAGGTCATTACATTGGATGGCATTTGTGCATGTAGGACAGTTGCAGATCTTAATAGATTTATGGATCTAAACTCAAATTTATGGAACTAAATTATGGATTTATGGA